CTTAAGCTAACTCTTAACCAACTGAGCCACTCGGCCATCCCAATGACCTGTGTTCTTAAAGGTATTCTGGAGACTGACTGGAAAATGGACTGGTGGGGGGTGAGGGAGCAGGTGGCAGGCAGGGAGGGGTGCAGATGTTTCAGTGGTCACTGCTGAAGGGGACAGTACTAGCAACTGGGACCAAAACGTGGGCACAGGGATGGAGAGTAGGGACTGGATTCCAGGATGTGGAAGGGAGGTCCCATCCCACAGGAGGAAGTGGGGGCATGCAAGGTGCTCCCTTCAGCAGCACCTTTGTTAACCCATGTTAACAAAGAGCTCTGCAGCCCACAGTCACCTTCATACCCCTGCACCCTTAAAATCAGAAACCTGCCACTGTTCTGTGACTAATAATTGGTGTCGCCAGGTCACAAGCCTGGGTTTTCCAGACCGCTTACCAGGCTCTTTCCACAGGCTGGAAGGGAGCGCAGGCAGAGCCTCGGGCTGGAACCGGGACGCCTTCACCTTCCTGCTGCGCTTCTCATGTCTGAGGTTGCCATGTCCCCGAGGCCAGGCTGGGAACAAGTCAGTGGGGAGCGGCACTGTGTTTCCTGGAGAGAGCAAGAATGTGGGCTCAGAGGCAGCAGCAGCCTGGCACAGCAGGGCACTCCCCACCTGAGACCATGGGAGCTAGCTTCATCTCTGTCCTCAGTTTCCTCATATGTAAAGTCAAATAACTGAACCTGCCTCAGAAGGTATTGGTGAGAGTTCTCAGCATAAAGAACAGTGCAGCTGTGATTACGTCATCATTATGACTGGGCCTCCGTGTGGGTGAGGGAAGAATGGGTATCGGAGCCAGCCGATATCTCGAACAGTCCTGAGGGGGGGAGGGCGTTAGGATTAAGAAAAGAGACAGAAGAGAGAGAGTTACCGGGAGGACTCCAGTAAATACTGAAGCCCCGAGTTTATTTTCCAACATCCTTATACACATCCAGGGTATGTGCAAAACAGAAAGGATAAACATGCATTACCTCCTTCAAAAGTAGATCATTAACTATCTACTAGATACTTTAAAGGTCAGGGAGACCTTAGGGGGTAAGCCTCCCAGAACACTTCCTTCCATTAACCCAAATAGCTACAAATCTTCTGCTGTCTGGCACTCGCCTGATACCTCAGTGTTAAGTAAACATCCTCCAGGTGCAAAAAGGAGCAAAACAAGATGCAAAACAATGCATCACTAAAGCCAGCCGGCTCGGCTCCCAACAAATGGGTACATTTGCTTAAAAACCAGGAAAGCCGAGGGAACTCCTATTTCCTGAGGCATCAACCGTGTGGCCCGTGATGTACTATGAAATTGACCTGCTTTCTTACACAACACCCAGATTTCCCTGGTTACTGCCTTCCCCTGATCCTAAGGGCCACAAGCAAACAGGAAGTCACCTGCTGGGAACCACAGAACAGTTATTATCTCACAGTTGCTGACGGGGCTGGGCTGGGTGGCTCTGGCTCAGTGTGTCTCATGAGCTTGTATCAGACATGGCTTCTCCTGGAGTGAGTGAGTGTGTGTGTGTGTGTGTGTGTGTGTGTGTGTGTGTGTGAAAGGGAGAGAGAGAAAGAGAGAGGGAGAGGGAGAGGGAGAGGGAGAGGGAGAGGGAGAGGGAGAGGGAGAACCCAAGACAGGAGCAGCCATGGTCATTTTATAACCCAGCATCTCAGAAATAATAACACTCCATCCCTTTGCCCTGTTCACTTCATTAGAAACAAGTCACTGAGTCGGTCTAGCTCTAGGAGAGGGTCATTAAGCTCCGTCTCTTGACATCAGAATTATCCAAGATTTTGTGGACACATCTCTAGAAGGACCAGAGTATTGTAACCCCAGACTCCAGCAGAGTAAATATCCTCATAGCAGAGTCTTAATAAAACATGTGTGGACCGAATGAATGAATGCATGAATGAATACATGAATGGATGTGGGAAAAGACTCCTCCTGCCCCCCCTTTACAGAAAAGGAAGAGGCTGAGGCTCACAAAGTTGAAACGTGTATAAGGTTGGCAGACAGTAAGAGGAGAGTGGGATGCTCTTTGCCCCCCAGCTCTGGCTCACAAAGAATTCTCAAGTTTGCCTGTAACATGGGAGGAAGGCAGTGCTGAGATAGCAGCCAGTGGTGGCCAGCTACAATAGCCGCCTGTTCTCAAGGGAAAAGGAGGGATGGATGACTAAGCAGCATGCAAAATAGACACAGGAATTTTCCTTGCTCCTGCCAACTACTTCTACAGGAGCCCCCCACTCCACATGAGGACCCATGGGCTGTGCTGACAGGAATATGCAAATGTACCTCAGATCTGCAGCCAGCACCTCCCCCAAAGACCACAGACCAGAGCAGCGCAAACACAGCCAGAGAGAGAGGCTGGGTGTCAGCAACAACAGGCTGCTTCCTCTGTACTTTTCCAACTGACACTCTACCGGCCTGTAAGAGCGAATACGGGGCCTGCTCTGGGGCTTGGGCAGTTGCCCGGATCTCATTTCTTCCTCCTAAGAATTCTTAAGGCGCTATGATTGACAACAGAGGTTCAGAGAGGTGAAGTAAGTGGCCTAAAGTCACCCAGCTAGTACGTGGTGGGAGAACCACGAGCCACAGGAGTGAGTGAGGCCCCTCCCATGACCCCACCTCCTCTTCTTCCAGGAAGAAGCTCTCTGGAAGGAACCAGCCCTTTCCCTCTCAGCCTCGTCTCCTCCATGGAGGTGGTGCATCCTCCTACCTAGATTGCTGCTGTCCGTCCACACCTCTCGAGCCCCAGACGTACACTCAGGACCACTGCAATCCCAGCCCAAGTGGGGACTTTTCCTAAGGTTTTCCTTAGGTTATCTCTGCCAGGTCAGCATTCAGGAGTCAGAAGCTGCAACATAAAAGCCCTGTGGAAAATAGGAAACAGCTTGGTCAAGCTTGCAAAGTCCAAGGCAGTTTAATTCCCATGGACACCATGGGTGTCTGAGGACAGTGAGAGTGACTGTACCCTGGATGGAGCCCCTGCTAGCCGGGTCCAGGCTGAACATGCAAGGTGTGCCTTTCATTTCCTTACCTTTGAGGCAGGTGCTATTGCATGCTCACTTCCCGCCTGTGCTGGTCCCCACTTGCATGGGCTGCCGGTTTCCTGAGCTCTAAAAATAAGCTGCTGGAGACCTTGGCCCTGACCCTGCAAAAGCCAGGAAGAACCCTCCAGTGACCCCAACACCTGTACAAGAATTTTACTCCTGACATTATCATTTTATCGCATGGTTCAAGGATGCAAATGTCTTCCTTTTTCTCCTTTCTTTCTTTCTTTCTTTCTTTCTTTCTTTCTTTCTTTCTTTCTTTCTTTTTCTTTCTTTCTTTCTTTCTTCCTTTCTTTTTTAAAGAAAGAGCATGGGAGGGTGGAGGGAGCCTGGATTTGGCATTGGGTTGGTTTTGCCCAAGTTCTACCAGCTCCACCGTTTCATAGCTGCTGGGTCCTTGGGCAAGTCATGAGATTAGATGTTGGAATTTTTCCTTCCTCCCAGACCTCCTTCTTGGAGGCTGGCACATACCAAGACTTGGTGATTATACTTAACATGAAAGGGGGGACAGAGGTTTTTCCCAACATAATCAGGAGCCAGAGGTGCGTGTACAGGCAGCAGCCAGTCCTAGCAATGTCAGACGCTGACTACCTCGCAGGTGTTCTGTCGGTGCGGCCCAATGGGCCTGATGAATGAATGACAATCTGACAACCTCCCCAGGAGCTGGGAGACGAGGGGGCCCAGGGAGGATGCGGCCGGACTCTTCTAGGTCGTCTCAGTGCTTTAGAGTCAACAAATATTTATTAAAGACTCTAAAATGCAACACTACACCACACAAATGAACAAAAGTCCTCTCCCAACAGAGCTTACATTTAGTATTATGTCACTTCATCTTTATAATCACCCTGTCAGGGAAATGTTACCTGCATTTTAGAGAAGGAGATTAAGACTGAGGGATTTCCAGTCAACTGCTTGAGGTCACCCAGCTGGTGAGTGGTACCTTCAGAGTCCCAGGCCTACCTCCTGCCAAAGCCATTCCCTCACCACTGATCCAGGGGTTCCAAACGGTGCTCTGTGTAAGGGTTCCACAGAGGCTTGTCACAGATGGAGGCTTGTGATTGTTAGGGATCAAGGGGAAGGTTTTACCCACGAGCTTAAGAAAGGCCTGTGATTAGCTCGGAGAGATCTGAGGAGACCTCAAGGTCAGGGATGAGGGACAACCAGCTATTAGGGTGAACCTGTAGTGGAAGAGCAGCTCCAAAGACAGATGGGGCTGGAGACCAGGGCCCCCCACAACACGTGTGTTCTCCATATGCTGGGGACCTCCAGGTTAACACAGCCATCTCGAGCTATAGAAAAATAAAGAGGGTTGCATTTTTAAAAATATATCTGAGTTGGGGCTGGATGGGTGGCTCAGTTGGTTAGAGCATGAGCTCTGAGCATCAGGGTTGCTGGTTCGACTCCCACATGGGATGGTGGGCTGCATCCCCCGCAACTAGATTGAAAGCGGTGACTGGACTTGGAGCTGAGCTGCGCCCTCCACAGCTAAGATTGAAGGACAACAACTTGACTTGGAGCTGATGGGTTCTGGAAAAACACAATGTTCCCCTTCCCAATTCCCCAACACTGTTCCCTTCCCCCTAATTCTCCAAATTTTATATATCTATCTATCTATATATATATATAGGTATAGATAGATATATATACCTCAGTTTCTGTATAGAGACTCATATCACATACACACGTATACACACACACACACACACACATATTAAAGAAAGATGACTAAAAATACAATAAATGCTAGCAGGGGTTTTCCCCTGGTGAAATTCTGGGGAACATTTAAATGCTAGCAGGGGTTTTCCCCTGGTGAAATTCTGGGGAACATTTTTTAATGTCCTTTTCTATATTTTCTGGGGCTTTACATGGTCCTCAATGAGTATTTTATAAACAGGAAAAAAACTAACAAGGATTGTTGTGTTGTTTTTTTAAGGACAATTATCAGGTATATGTTTCAATGTCCCTATGTATATTTTCTGGGTATTTACATGTTCCTCAACAAGTATATCATAAATAAAAGAAAAAAATTAACAAGGGAAAGGTTTGGTTTAATTTGGCTTTTAAGAGACAAAACGTTAGCTGTTCCTGTAACTGGATTATTAATAAGCTTATGTTACCAGAAGCAATCCTTTGGTCATTTCCAGTCTGAAAAGAAAGCACTTGGTTTTCCCCGAAGGCATTTCTTAACGAAGGGGGAGGAGTCCTTTGCAGGGATAAATAAGCATTAGCACCCATGAAAATCCCACACTCCGGCAGGCAGCGGCTTTGGAATCTTCTAACTACATCCAGCCCCGGGAGCAGGTAATTCTTGATGCTGTGCGTACAGGGAGCAAAGGAATCCATTTTTCCAGGGTGGTTCTAGGTATTGGCCTGGAGCAAGAGACCGCCTGGCAGGAGGGAGCCAGGAAGAGGGGAGCCAGAGGGCTGGTGACTGCGCTGGTGCCCTCTGAAGACAGTCTTCTCTCTGGGTCTGAGTTTTCACACCTGCAAAGGGGTGGCAGTACCATGAGGGCATCCAGGGTCATTTCTGACCCTGACACTTCATCTGAGCCAGCTGTGCACCCCCGTTCGGCTGTGTATTCACTCTCAAGAGCAGAGCTGCCCTGATAGACAGGAGGTGCCTCTCCTTGCCTGGCACAGGGTGCTGCTCTCAGGGGGGGTGCGGACAGAATGGTTGCCCTGGGTGCCTCTGGACAGAAGCCACAGGGTTTCAGTAGGGGCTGTCCTGGGGTTCCAGGACCCTGGGACAAGCTGACAAGCAGGCTGCTATCCAGCAACCACGGAAAAGACAGGCTGCTCAGAAACAGAGCCAGCCCACCAACTGGCCAAAACAGACAAGCCCATTTTCTCCAGAAATAATTTTTTTGGATTAAAAAAGTTTAACTCTTTTCCAAGTAAATGGTTACACTAGCCAGAGAGTAAACATTTGGGACAATTGAACTGCCTTTGCCCCTGGGCTTGTCCAAAGGTGGTTCCACTGCCTTCTCAATGAGAACCAGCTCGGTTCCCTCCCCCCTCCCCT